GGGGGGGGGCCGGGGCGCCCCTCCCCCGGCGGGGGGCCGGCCCCGGGCCCGCGGGGGGAGGCGGCCGGGCCCCCGCTTTGTGTCCTCCGGGGTTAAAGGGATGAGCGCGGGGGGCGGGGGGCGCTGAGCGGGGAGAGGGGCCCGAGGGGGCCGCGGCGGGTCTGGTGGGAGGGGGCGAGCGCCCGGGCCGGACGCCCGGTCCTCCTGGGAAGGGTGGGAGAGGGAGCGCCGCCCCCTCCCCAAGCCGATGTGGGAGGGGGCTCTGGCGGCTGGGGGGGGGTCCTGCCCTTCCGCCCCCCGTACACACCCCTCTGCCTGCCCCCTGCCTTGCCCACCGCCCAGTCCGCTGCATCTCCATTCCCAGCCCTGGCACAGTGCCTGGCACACAGTAAGAGCTTAATCAGTGCTTGTCGGCCGGTGGGCCTAGCTTGTCGTCAAGGGGGGGCTCGCAAGTGTTGTAAGTTCCTTCCCCCGTCCGCCCCCTCTCCACCCGGGCCTGTCCTTTGACCTCCTTTTGGGGGAGGGGTACGTTGGGTAGATTAAAATGGGGGGGTGGGGGCAGAGAGAAACCTCCCTCTCCTTTTCTTAACCTGTCTCCAGTCCAGTGCAGCGAGCCATCCAGTGCGCACTGTTTGCAGAGCACGCCTTTGTCGGCTTTCTAGGGTGTTTGGGTAAGTTTCAGGGAGTCGGGGTTGAAGGCACTGAGCCGTCTGTCTGCTTTGGGGAGATTAGGGTGCTTGCCCGAGGGAGCAGTCCCTTACCCGCCTTGCCGAGCCATTAATCCCGTGCTGTGTGCAAGGCATTTCCCATTTCTCAACTCTCCAGGAACCTGGGGCTCGTGGACCCCCTAGATTTCAAGGAATCGGTGCATTTCGATGAGAAAAAAAAATTACATCATTGGTTTCCTTTGTAATCCTTTGGGTTTTATTTTATGCTTTTCCTAGTTCTGACATTTTGAGAAGAGATCCATAGAAGTGAGGGACCTCTACTCCTGGATGTGGGGAGGGTACTTTAGGAGAAGAAGCATCAGAAAAAGGAGTGTTCTGGTTTGGGGTGCTATTGGAGGGAACCGCTCCCTCCTTTTCTTGCTTCTCTTCAGGATCCCTGTCTTAGCCCTGTGCTGAGAGGGTTCTCATTAGGAGTTATTCACCTGGGGTCTGAAATTAGTTAGATATTTCAATATCGTTGGTTTCCTTTGTTAATCCTGTGCGTTACAATTTACACAATTAAACACAGTATTCTGAGAAGGAGTCCATAGGCCTTATCAGACTTCTGTTAAGGACATTTGGTGAGAAAGTGGGGTTAAAAGGATGAGTCCTTTTGGGGGGTAGTGGTAGAGGCCAGCACTGCCTTGTCTGCCTCCCACATCAATCCAGCAAGCATTTATTGGATGCTTTCATACGTGCAAAGTACTCTCAGTGCTTTAGGATGTGGTCATTGAGAGCAGCCTGGGTCAAGGGGACGAGAATACCCTGGGCAAGATTGGGGACATAGGATCATAGATGTATAGAGGCTGTCCAGGCCCACCCCCACCCCATTTTACAGAGAAGGAATGGAGACCAGAGGTCTCTTGACTAAAGTGCTTGGATTTCCCCAAACCCAGCCTTTCTCACATTGGACAGCCTTGCTGAGTGAGGGGGGAGCAGGAGAGCTCTTACCTTCTCCCCAAACCTAGAGCCCTAGAGAAAGAGGAGAGGGAGGCCTTGGATAGAGGGGAGCAGGAAAGTAGATCCTTCCTCTCCCTTTCCAAAGCCTCCAGGGTGAATAGTGGTTTAGGAGAGAGGGGTTAAAAGGATGAGCCCATTGGTTTGTGGTCTGTGCAATCAGGACGCTGTTTCCCTCTCTTCCTCCACATCTCCCCCCCATCTTCTTTCAGTTACTTTACTTTAGCTCTTACTACTGTCCAGCCTTCCAGGTGCTGGCCTGTATCTGGGTCTGGCAAGGATTGCTTCCACCACTCCTAAAATTCTTCCCAAGGACAGAGTATGGAAGTACCCCATTTGTGCCATGTACACATGTGTGCATTTATACATTGGTTGGATCCCCTCTTTCCTCCCCTCCTTCCTCTGTTATGAAGAAAAGTCGTGGAGAAGAAGATGATAGATGTGGATCCTCTGTTGTGGTCCCCAGAATGTGAAAGGTTTTGGAAGTGGACTTTGGCAAAGAAGTAGACTTTTAGTTGAGGCCCTGGACAGGAGAGAATGGAGCTTTTCCTAGTATCTGCAAATGATAACTTTCAATTAAGTATTGTTAGAAGAAAAACCAGTTGCTGGGAAAGGGTTCGGCAGCATCTGACCCTTTAAAAGAAAAATGAGGAGGGGGTCACACCCAGAAGTCCAGCAGACAATAAGGACATTCCCAGAAATTTTCAATATGCAAATGATGTTCAAAGTCTAGCCCATTGACACTGTGGTATGATCAGCATTCTAATGTAGAAAGTAGCAATCATCGAGGAGTCGTGAGCTAGATTGTTGCCTCTTCGTGGTGCTGAAACTTTGATCTGAATGCTGTAAGAGGCAGTTATGCCTTCCCTGTAGCCCTTGTACCTTAATTTAAGGATTATCTTGTTGCAAAATCCTAGTTGTTGGTGCCAAGGAAGGCTGCTAGGCTAGTGCTTTTCTTAGATAAAAATTTGCATTTCTTCAAACATTAAACAGAGCTGTGAATTCCTTTAAGCCTTTATATAGAACTCATAGCTGCCTTTTTTTTGTGCAACAATATAGTTGCACAAAAATATACATTGCTTTTGTGTGTGTACGTTGTTTTTTGTTTTTAATGCAAACTACTGTATGAGGCAGGAGAACTTGGTGTGGTTTGCCCTTTTTATTGAAGTATAGAAAGAAAAAGGACTTCTGATGTCATGGAATCCAGCCCCCACATTTTACAGTGGAGGAAATAGTTCTGGAAGAAGTGAGATGACTTGTCCAAGGTCACAAGGTAGCAAGTGGAATCAGCCTTAATTTGAATCCCAGTCTTTTGATTTTAAATTTTAAAACCCTTCACTAGTTTTAAGGTCTTTGTTCTGGGAATGTTTTGGCGAGCTGATGAAGCAGCATTGTATTCTGGCCGAGGAAGTTGTGTGGTGAGAGGTAAGGGGGACAATCTTTCCTGGTCAATTAGATATGAAAAGGGCATCACTCTATAAGCAATGAGGAAATTACCTTTGCCTAAGTAGCACATTTCAGAATGCCACGAGTTGCTGTCTATTCCTTTGTTAGAGCATTTGGTAAGAGGAAAATTGCCTGGTTTTGCTTCTTTGATGAATGCATACTAAAAAAAATAAAGACCGAAGAATTCCATATTGCAGTAAGAGATGTAGGTTGGATCTTTGTGTGTTTTGGAGAGAGAGCAGCTAGTTTTACATTTGAAATGGGAGTGAAAAATGGAGAAGATCCAGTTCTAATTCTAATCTTTCTGCTATTTGTATTGAGATCAAGGGGCTGTCCATAGTAAAGTGTTACTTTTAAATTGTAAGCTTAATTTCCTTTTTTGTTATTTTGTTGTATTCTTCCAGCAACATAATCTTCTCATTTATAAGAGTTTATTTAACTTCAGATCTTCACATTCTGAGGTTAAAGAGGTTTTTCCTTTTTAAGCTTTCTTGCACTGAGTCTCACCTGAAGGGGATAAAGAAAATTACTAGACCTTCTGAATGTTGAGGAATTGATGGCTTCAGTGTTACTTGTAAACAGCTGCAGTCTAAGTAGACTATTAGAGATGGAAAGGCCTTAGAGAAAATTACACCAACCACCTCATTTTTCATTTGAGGAAACAGAGGCCCAGAGAAGTGAAAGGGCCTTAGAATCCCTGTATCTTACCTCCCAGGCTGATTATCTTTCAGCCGCTGCAGGTTCCCTTATAACTTTGTGTCATCACTCTCTCACTTTCTGCCCTTTGCCTCTGGTGGGCGCAAGAAGAAAATCCAGAGGTTAGTTGGCACAACAGTACAACTTTATGGGCGTCATTTTTTCTAAAAGTGTCTTTATTCAGCAAACATATGAGTACTGATCTGGGTACTGATAACCATTCTAGACATGCAGCGCAGTTGAGGAAGAACAGAAAGCAAAAATAAAGGTCCATCCTCAGCATGGATTCCTGCTTTTCGTTATTAATAGATGCTGGAGAAACTTTGGTTCATATCTGGCTCAAGGCCCAGCTACTCTTGAGCTCACCATCCTTGGGCTATGTGGTTCCTATAGTTGTTTATGAAGATAAGTTTGGTTCCTAGAAGATTTTTGTTGTTCATGTAAATCCATACAAGTATTTGCTAGCTGGAGGCTCAGAGTTGGAGCAGACAGGAGGGAGAGATCTGGGTTCCAGTCTCCACTTCCAAGTTTAACAGCACTGTCAACTCCCTGACCTCTTAATGTGGTACAAAGCTTTGGCCACCTACTGGAGCAGGCTATTTTGAGGCTTGTAAGCAGAGGTAGGGAAGGGGCGATGTTTTGTTTGGGGGAGAAGGGTGGGAAGTTAGTGAGTAGATCTTCCCCAGCAGAACAGCACTGGATTGGGGAGTGCCAGGAGATGCTGCTGGCTGACTGGGGTGGGGGCACATGATGGGGGGCAGAGGAGAGCAACAGAGGGGCTGCTGCAGGTTCTTGAGAACCAGGAAATGACAAGCTGAGCAGTTCTAGGAAGGTGCCTCTCCACAGTAAGGTGAATTAGAAGAGGAAGTGACTAGAATCAGTGAGACCAGCTAGAGGAACATTGAAATAATCTTGGCCACAATGATTCAGAGGAATGAAGAGGGAAAGCTGAAGGCATGTCTTTTGGACGCCTTTTGTTTGTACATCCCACTCGTTCGATCATTCTCCCAGCTGAATCCTCCCCTGAAACCAAGAGAAATGTCAAAGGACACACGCACAAAAAAGAGCTTGATGTTAAGACGAGGTTGTCTCTTGTGCAGCTCACAGAAAGGACCGTGGCATGTAAGCAGCTCGTTTTATTAGGGAAGATGAATTCAATTTGGGATTGTTGAGTTTGCAGTGATGATCATTTTATTGGACTGGGGCAGGGAATTCTAGATTTGCTATCTTGAGGTCATGAAATTGGATGACTTCACCAAGCAAAGTCAACGTGAAAAGAGAAGGGAAGGGCTGGCCACTTTTAGGGGCAAACAGGAAATGTGCCAGCCAGGGAGACAGGAGAAAGGAAGGGGCAGCTTCGTGGCCAGCTAGGGAGGTTTTGAGAATGAGCACTGTGGCCACTGACCACTGGATTGAGCCAGGATTCACTGGCTCGTTTTGGGTCGTGGTGGAGGTCAGAAATGAGGCAGGGAGTGAGCCCTCATGTTCCAGGGGACAGGAAGGAGTTATTAGAAGAACAGCAGGAAGACCTTGCTTAGAAAAAAGTAACAATTTCTGTTCCTCCAGAACTTGAGCTTTTTACCAAGTGTTGTCCTTCAAACAACCCAGTGAAGTATTCATATCGCCATTTTACTGATCAGGAATTTAAGGAACTCAGCAGTCAAGTGACTTTCTTGCTTGTGGTCAGTGTTCGGTCTGACCTTCACTTGCAGGTTGTCTGCCTTTCAGACCAGTGCTCTTTCCACTAGAATCACAAAGAAAGAAAGAAAGGATGGAGCCTTAGGAGAGAAAGAATCTTTGCCCAGTGCTGTGCAAACTCTAAAGAGCTATAGGAGTCTCAGCTATTATTAAGAAAATAGAAGGGGCAGGTTATTGTGGGGCTGTGGCCTTGACGGAGAAGAAGAGGTGCTGCTGTCCTGTGGCTAGGTTCTGGTGGGCAAGATAAGAGAAGTCTTCTTCCATGATTGGAGAGAAGGCTGAGAGGAGAGCTGTGGAAGCAAGTGCTAGATGAATGAGGCTAAAATGGAGCGCGTCATAGTATTCGACTTGTTTTCCACATGCCATCTAAAGGAGAGAGAGCCAGCAGTGCGAGGGTTTGTGCTACCCTGAAGTCTAGAATGAAACTTAGCGTCCCCCAAAGAAGTCATTCTATAGCAGATCAAATGCTGCTACCACAGAACTATAGCAATTTCCCAGCCTCAGCATGTGATCTGTTTATTTTAAGTAATATTTATAGAAGGAAATCATTTATTAGAGTGAAAACTTGAATAAGATTTAGTGATTTAAATTGATTTCAGTAAGGTTCAACACAGCCCGTTTTGTACATTTTTAAAAGTCATCATAGATCTATAGGAATTATCTTTCCATTAATTTCAGATTTTTAAAAGGTCATTCCCAGAGTAGTTTGACACATTTTTGTTAGGTGTCTACTATGAGCAAAGCAATGTGTCAGTGATTCAGAGGAGGAGATGATGGAGCTCTCAGAGCTTACCTTCTCACCTTCCTCACTTGGGGTCTGGGCATTTTTAAAAAATGATGGCAACTGTAATCAGTTTCCTTTGTAATCCCATGCATTTAAAAACCTTATTCTGAGAAGGGATCCCTGACTCAGAAAGGACTCAATCCTTGTTGTAATAAGTTTCTGTGCCCTTCCCAAAGAATAGAGACTGCTTGGGACTGGAGGAGATAATAAAATGAATGAGAATTAATCAGAAGAGATTTTCATGGAGGCATAAGACTTAAGGCTCTAGACCCAGCACAGTCCCTAATGTCATTTCTCATATTGATGATGTTTTATTCTACTGTGTGCAGCCCATATCTTCTGTTATTATCTGTAAGGCTTTTTATTTTTCAAAACTGGCTACATTTCAAACCTCTAATGTCCATAAATGACATTTCTTAAATATTTTTAGTGAGCTTTGATAAACAGGTAATGACTGGAGAAAGAATAGATAGATTAGGCAATTAAAGATTTTCTGACCCTCAGCTTAATTTTCCCTTAAGTGACGAGCTGGTACAAGGAGTAATCTTGACCTTTAAGTTCGCATTTGATACTGGCAGGTGTAATGACACTTTTCAGTGTCGCCTTGAAGATTCTGTTCAGTTTGTACTTCTTCAGTGCCTGCTGGATGCCAGGCCCAGTGCTAGCTCCGGGGGTGCAGTAGTCCTGCCAGGCGTTGGCACGTTCCAATGGCAGTTGTGGATAAATAACAAAACCAAGAAAGGTCACTGAGTCCCAGGTCTGACTCTACCATTGGGATCTTTGAAGCTGTACAAGTATTTGGACCTTTTGGATGAAGTTCACTAAATGAAATAGCAATGATTAAGGCATGTGTGGTAGAATAATTCCAAGGAATAATGAAGAATTTGTAAAGTGTGTTCCCAATTTAAAATGCTAATTTCAAATCCTGAAAAAATGCTGAGATGCTCGAGGAGTTACATGCACCTTTAGTGTACGTGTGGATGGGTTTATTAGAGATGAAAGGAATAACTCAATTAGGTCAGCTGGAAGGCGCATAGAGTTTTATCGTGCCCCACGGTGGCCTAAGGGGGATACTTAGGCAGCTCTTTGTTCAAGAAAGCCTCCTAGAATTAGGAACAGTTATACTTTTTTTTATATTGTATGAAGTAATTATTTGCTCTGCTGCATACCTGCAGGTTTGCCTTTTATTCCTCTAAGTGAGCTGCCAACTGCAGCATTTCCAGCTAGGAACACCTAGAAGATTGTTCCAGTCACTGTGTAGATCACAGATGAGCTCATTTATGCCTGTGTTAAAGGTCAGTTTGTTTTTGATTATATCTTCCATCAAGCACTTGGAATGAGCAGGGTTACCTCACATTTTGAGTTAATGAAGGAGATGGTGTCAGCCTTGGGTTGTTGATGTGGTTCTGAAACCCAGGCCACATATTTAGCAAATAATTGATATAATAAAATCATCACGTTTGCATAGTTCAAGCCTTTGGGAAGGCTTCAATAAAGTACTACAGTCTCTAACGTTTCTTTAAAGAATCTGCATTTAATGAAACATGGGGGAATATACAGAAAGGACCACCTTGTCATCATTCCTTTGACTACTCCGATAAAACCAGTTTAGGGCTCTGGTGCCCATAGCTTTTAAATGTAATCCTGTGTATCATATTATTATATGTTACTTTGTCTCTTTATGTGTGTGTGTTAGACGTGTCCAGAAGCATTAATGCTTTAGTCCGAAAGGGTTTGGACTTTTGTGTTATTTCACTTTGGTGATTTTTCTGATAAATAAATTGGAACAAGGATAAGGAGACTGGAAAGAGGACTGGGCCTCCATTTCCTCATTTGTAAAATGAAAGTATTAGACTAACTGAAGAACTCTGAGGTCCATTTCCAGCTACAAATCTATGATTCTTTGAACCTTTGAAAATTATGTGATGTGTTTAGGGCCCTACACTGTGCTAGTGAAAGAGTTAGATTTGAACCACTGGTGATTGGCCTAACTTTTAAACACTTTTTTAAGGTGCTTTTTAATAAGGTGAAAGTATTTCCCAGACTTGACTTTTTCATTAATCATTTTAGCAACCCAAAGTAGTAGATACTGTTATTATGTTAAACTTTAGCTGAGCAAATTAAGGTACAAAGGTGTTGTTAGGGTTCCTGCTCAAATGCTGTGGCTTCGGCAGACATGTGTCCATTGACTTATGCTGAGGATGTCCCTTTAAGTGAATTTAGGGGGCTTTCTTATCCTCCCTATGCACCAGACCAGTTGATCTCTAATCTTTCTGACTGAAATTAGGCAAAAACCAAATTAAAGAGGCTGCTCTTTTTTTTTTTTTTTTTTTTTTAGTAGATTTGTCTCTCTGGCAGTTTTATTTTTCCTTCTGGGCTATCAGGCTTTTTTCCTGGTTGTTTTTGGGTTTGTTTGTTTTAACCTACAGGCTGTGTTGTTTTGAATGAGCACTGGATTTGAATTCTTGCTCTGCTCTTACCACTTGTATAGCCTGAAGCAAGTCACTTAACGCTTCTGGGACTCACTTTCCTCACCTATAAAACGATGGGCTTGAACTAGGTAACTTTGAAAGATTTCTACCAGTTTTCTTGATGGTAGTTTTTTTCTGTGAAATCATACTATTCGGCTAAATATCTGAGAGGTACCGATAATCGGGTTGAGCAGTATTTAAAAGTAGGGTGGAAATAGCTAAGTAATTCAGTTTCCTGTAATCTCTATAAATAGTCTACTTTCTGGTCCTTAATTGTGTTAGCCCTTGCTTCCCAGGAGAAATTCACTTTTGACCAGGAAATAGAAGGCAATAAAATATGCTCTGATCCCTGGGAGACAGAGATTGTATGGGGACTCGGATGTTTAGCCTCATTTCTGAAGCATTTTCCATACATAACCTTGTCCCTTTTCCAAGCACCTCATGCATCCTCTTGATTCCTTCAATAAACATTGATTCTTTATAAGGTTCTGGAGGAAATACAAAGCCAGATCATCCATTGCTCTTGCTCTGAAGAAGCTTATAGCTAGGCTAGACTGATCTCGAAGGCCGTTTGCGGAATGCAGACAGCCTCTTAATGGCTCACAAATCCTGGTTAGAAATCCTTTATCTACTTCTAAGTGAAACTTTAGGTATTGATATTCTGTCCTTCACAAAATTTCTACTTAGCTGCTGATCGTGTCAGGTGTCACCCCTGGGAAAGAAATCAAAAGTAGGTGCCTGTTGACTGTGTTAGATCTCAGAGGTAGAAATCTGCTAAGAATGTTTTGCCCCTCATAGCACTGTGAGTCTGCAAGGGCATGGGGACCTATCTGCACAAAGGAAACATTTTTGTCTTAAGTGTTAAAGGTACTGGGGGCAGCAGGGGGACACAGCAGAGAAGGGAACAGGCATTTATTAAGTTGATGTTGTGTGCCTGTGCCGGGCACCATCCTAAACACTTTATAGATAGTTCATTTGGTCCTCACGACCGCTATTATTATCCCTGTTTTATAACTGAGGAAACTGAGACAGACAGACCTGCCCAGGGCTACACAGCTACTAAGTGTCTGAGATTGGATTTGAACCCGGGTTGTCTTGACTCCAGGCACAGAGCTCTTATTCGAGGTTACCACTTAGCCGCCTCACAAGTGCCTACTAACACATCTTAGTCGGATATTCACAGTAAAAAGGGGATGGAGGCAGGTGTGGCAATACTAGGGGACACAGGTTATTCAGAGGAAAGAGGTTACTTTTTCTTTTGATTTCATTCCTCTTATTTTCTTTCTTTTATTTTTTTGTTTTTGTTTTTGTGAGGCAATTGGGGTTAAGTAACTTGCCCCAGAGTCACACAGCTAGTAAGTGTTATGTGTCTGAGGCTGGATTTGAACTCAGGTCCTCCTGACTCCAAGGCCAGAGCTCTATACACTGCGCCACCTAGCTGCCCCCCCCATTCCTCTTATTTTCCAAGATCAGAAAGTCTCTAGTGGTAAGGAAATAAATAAAAGGCCTCCCAGTGGAAAACCACCAATATTTCTGTTTACTTAGGCTTAAAGCTGTGAACAAGTCCAGTTGACCACTCAGCTGACAATTTGAGCACTGCCCCCCGCCTTGTACTTTGGAAAGTAATCTCTCCTTATGTAGAGCATTGAAAGGGCTTTTTTTGTTGCTGCTTTTTTCAAATAGATGGATGGAGATAGTTCGACCACAGATGCATCGCAGTTAGGAATTTCAGACTACATTGGTAGCAGCCACTATGTGATACAGCCTCATGATGGTAAGAAAACTGCTATTTAAAAAGTGTAAACTTCATCTTATTAACATGATATTATCCTTTCACTTCTTCCCTGCCTTTTCTTTATTTTTCCTTCCTGCTTAGTAAAACCCAGGGATATCTGGCAGTTACCTATGTGGTGTTTGTGACAGGCTCTTTAGAGCCTGAGTAGCACTTTATAAACAGTTTCCTCTTTTCAGTTAAAATTAAGTACCTACTGTGTGCTAAATACCTACTATGTGCTAAGCACTGAGAATACCAAGATGATGAACTAGTCCCTGCCACCAGGAAGCTTACATATTGCTGGGGAGAACTCAAAGCCCACTAGAATACCCTTCCTTACTGACTTGTGTGTCTTCTTTAAAAAAGAAAATTATTGATAATCTTATGGTTTTAAAATTCATACTCTGACCCCGGATCGAGGTAGTACTTTGGGAAAAGATGGAAGACTGAATCAGGAACAACTCAAGCCATTGTCCTGTGTCTTTATCGTTAAATCTGATATCTGGCCTTAGCCAAACCCGTAAGCCCCTCATCGGTTAGTTTTCACGTCCGAGTCTTCTTGTGATGGAATCATTTGCATGTGACGTTAGCTAACTGATCCTTTCCAAAACTCGGAACCGAATGCATATGTAAAGGCACAAGTCAAGGTGCTGCAGCATCCTTCCAGCCAAAGAGAAGAGAGGGAGACACCTTTAAAAATGAGCTCAACTTTATGCAGCGCTTTGCAGTTCACAAAGCACTTCCCTCACTACAGCCTAATGAGGTAGACAATGCAAGTATTATTCTGTCCACTCTACAAATGGTCTGGTCAGTAGGCATGATGACAGTTCAGAGTTGAGAGAGAGAGAGAGATTGCCAGTTGGTATGAAGAGGGAGTGTGGCATTAGGGAGCTTGATGCTTGAGCTGGGCTAGGGAGGGTGGCAGGCCTTTGGACAGGCAGAGATGAAGTGGAGGGAGGCAGGGAAACGGCATGAACTTTGTGAGGCTGAGAAAATGGAGTGAATGGTTCCTGATCTTTAGCTCTGCTCCGAGGGTCAAGAACTAACCCAGCACAGTTCCTGACTCTATTATTGAAACCCTTCAAAGACTCTCTTATCTGCTGTGTCACACATTGAAATGACCTTTGGTTCTGAGTTGTCTTATTTTTTTTTAGATGCAGAAGACAGCATGAATGATCATGAAGACACAAATGGTTCCAAAGAGAGCTTTCGAGAACAAGACATCTATCTTCCCATCGCCAACGTTGCAAGGATAATGAAGAACGCCATACCTCAGACAGGGAAGGTATATGAGGCAGGGGATCTGGCTGTGGCCTTGTTAGAGCTGACGGCCGTTTGTTTAGTTACTCAGCCTTACATGAAACCAGACAGTTTTTTAAAGCTAGGACTACTCGGTCTCCCTGAAACAGCACGCTATATCCTTTTAGTTTTATTCCATTTCAGTTATGTTCAGTTTTCCCTTGGTTCAAGTATTGGGGGGAAAATTTTTTTTTGGTAAACCCAGTAAAGTTCTTTTTTTGAAATAAGTATTGTAAAAAATAAGTGAGTTTTTATGAAAATGTGAAGACTTGATACAGTTTCAATACCTCGAGCATGACAAGTGTGACATGACATCAATGAACACAGTTCTGAGTCGTTGGTAAACTGTATGTGGACAGAGATCTGCTTCTGATTCTGACAGAACTTAAACTCTGACACACACCTTGCTCATCTAGAGTGGGGAGGATGTCTTTGAACTGGCTTTTCTTTCTCAAAAAGCTTGCCTCCCTGAACCCCGTGGTTCCCAGTGGCTCCCAGAATCCACGATTCTGACTGCATACATTTTTTTTTCCATACATTTGCCAAAGTATGGCTTGGTAATTTTGTTCTGCTGCTTTTGCATGAAATTGATAAATTTCAAAGAATGTCTCTCCTGATTGAAAATGGAGCATGAAGCCTGTGGTTGCAGGTTCTAATTGAAAGAAAATGTCTCTTGCTTATGCTTAAGAAAGCTACTTGAGGATCACTGGAGACCTGCTGGCTGACAGCCACAGCCCACCTTCGATGAGTGCTCAGCTGCTGTTGGGAGACAGAGCAGCCCAGGCACTTTTGAATAGGCTTGGTTATATTACATTTAGTGGGGGGGGGGACACTCAGGTGGCTCCAGTCTTTGGTTTGGTGGTTTGCTTTCCAACCCACATTTTTCTAGAAATTTTCTTTTGCCAATTCTGCATTTATACAATGATTATTTACTTTATTGAGGAGAAGCCCTCAGTCATCTATAGAGGTGCACACTTAAAAAGCTGTGTGTGGGCAAGAGTTGTTGTCATTTGTGGTCAGATCAATATGTGTCGAGGTCCCCTGGCCATCTGTCCATGGAGGACCCCCTCCACCATTCAGAGCCACGCCCAGTGAGGAGTCCCGGGCTTCCAGGGAGAATCTTGCCAAGCTCGGCTCCTGTCTTCCCCGATCCACTCAGGAAATTCTGTTCTCTTAAAGTGCATCCTTCAAGTCACTTGTTGAGCCCTGAAAGGAGAGAAAAGCACCTGTTTAAAAAGGGCATGAGATAACACCAGCTTTTTTCCTGGGGTGGTTTGGTTTTTGTTTTTTGGGTTTTTTTTTTTGCTGGTGTTGTGCATGTGTAGGGTGGGAGAAGCCAAGCAGTCCCACTTGTTTTTGTTGTGCTTTCCATTCCAAAACCCCATCTCCAGTCATGTCTCTGTATCTGTACTTGGAAATGTTTCCCTTGGACTGGGCAGCCACCAGAGGACTGGTGCAGAGGAACAAGGGTACGCTAGCCCTAAAGTCAGAGGACCTGCTCTCAAATCCTACTCCTGGGACCTATTATTTATGTGACTTTGGGCAAAATCACTTAAGCTCAGGAGAAAGCTTGCTTATCCGTCAGACTATAAATGACCTCCTGATGCCTTTCTCGCTCCAAATCAAGGATCCTGAACTTTTTTGGTGTCTTAGATTCTTTGGCCATTCAAATCTGTGAACCACTTCTCAGCATAATGTTGGTGACCTATATTCTTTTTTTAAAAAATTTTAATATTTTATTTTTTTCCTAATTATATGTAAAAACAATTTTTAACATTTGTTTTTTAAGATGTTTGAGTTCCAGATTCTCTCTCTCCCTTCCCTCCCCCCTCATTGAGAAGGCAAGCAATTTGGATATAAGTTGTACGTGTTGCAGTCCTGCAAAACATATTTCCATATTAGTCATGTTGTGAAAGAGAACACAGACAAAAAAAGACCCCAAGAAAAATAAAGTTTAAAAAAAGTATGCTTCTGATTGCACATTTATAACCTATGTGAAATTGCTTACCATTTTAGGGAGGGGAGGGAGAAAATTTGGAATTCAAAAATTTTTTTAAATGAATGTTAAAAATGGTCATTACATGTAATTGGAAAAAATAAAAACTGTTTTAAAAAAAAAAGGTATGCTCCAGCCTGCATTCAGACTCCATCAGTTCCTTCTCTGGGAATGGATAGCATTTTTCAGCATGAGTCCTTTGGAATTGTCTTGGCTCATTGTATTGCTGAGATCACAGTTGATCATCCTACGGTTTCAATGGGAACGATGTTCTCCTGGTTCTGTTCACTTTGCTTTGTATCAGTTTCTGTAAGTCTTCCCCGGTTTTTCTGAGAGCATCCTGCTCCTCCTCTCTTACAGCATAATGGTATTTCATCATAATCATATACCATGACTTGTTCAACCAATCCGCAGTTGAGGCATCTCTTCAATTTCTAATTGTTTGCCACCAGAAGAAGGGCTGCTATCAGTATTTTTGTACATATAGGTCTTTTTCCTTTTTGTTTTTTTATCTTTTTGGGATATAGCTATACACAGTTTTATGAGCCCTTTGAGTACGTACAGTTGTAACCTTAAAGGAAATAATGCTACATTTCAGTTAGACGTTAGTGAAAATAAAAGTAATTTTTTTCCCCACCCAAGTTCATGGACCTCAAGTTAAACTCCTCTTTAAATAGATGAGTCTCTCTAGATTATCACGAACACTGACCAAAATGTGAATTCACTAATGTCATAGGAGGTAGTTTTAGCGTAAATGGCAGTGAATTCACATTTCACTCTGTATTTCTCATAAAACTAGTAAAAAGAAGAGATTTAGATTTAGGCTTTTTAAGAAATTTAGATTCCAGAGCCCAGCATTTTGAATTATAGGGTGCATAACAGAATGGTTCTGCTCCTAAGATATCTGGGACTCTTTTGCCTCTTTAGAAAATATGATTTGAGGGGCAGCTAGGTGGTGCAGTGGATAGAGCGCCGGCCCTGAAGTCAGGAGGACCCGAGTTCAAATCTGGTCTCTGACCAAACACTTGACACTTACTAGCTATGTGACCCTGGGCAAGTTACTTAACCCCAATTGCCTAAAAAAAAGAAGAAAAAAAAGAAAATATGATTTGAGCCACCTCCTGGAGGGGCAGTTGGTGACATGTCATAGTTGCTATCTGATAGTAAGTTCTTCTGTTCACAGCTGTTTCTGTAAATAGGACTGTTAAGACTTCCTACCATTTGCATTCAGGTGTTATATGCTCCTGGCCTTGAAAGCAGCAGGTAGCACACATTGCGTTGTTCTTAATAAAATTTAATTCAGAGGAGAATAGAGGCAATAACTGTAATTTGAACAATGTGTCTGTGTGCTGCATAGTCCTTTATTTTTGCAAGTTGGGAGGGAAGTGTGAGGGACGTATGCAGAGATTTACCCTGGCTTTCTCTTGTTGTCAGATTGCTAAGGATGCTAAGGAGTGCGTCCAAGAGTGTGTGAGTGAGTTCATCAGCTTTATCACATCGGAAGCCAGTGAAAGGTGTCACCAGGAAAAGCGGAAGACCATCAATGGAGAGGACATTCTATTTGCAATGTCGACTTTGGGTTTTGACAGTTACGTGGAACCTTTGAAGCTTTACCTTCAGAAATTCAGAGAGGTGAGCAAAGTGTTTCCTAAATGTTGCCATTGTCAATACAATGTTGACATTTCTGTTTATTACACGCATACCAAAAAGTCCAATTTGCATAATCAGAAGTATACATAGCATTTTTTTAGACACGGTTTTGTCATTGATGTTTACTTTTATCTTCACTTATTCAGGCTGGAACTGAATGGAACAGGAAAGTTACAGCGTTTGCCTCTGGTCATTCATTTCTTTCTGTGACAGGAGGCCAGGGAAGTTGTAACCTCGATATGGTCTCCCTTACAAGTTGAGGTGTTGTGTTGTTCATCCTCTTATTTGAATAGTTTTTGTTAACGGCACACACAGGTAGACAGGTAAGATCATGTGCGTTTCTCCAGCTCCAGAAAGGGAGTTGGACACTTCAGGTTTTCCCCTGGGGGCGGACAGTTTCTTCTCCTACAACATTATCTTCTGTGTGAAAACTTATTTGTGTGGTTCTGACAGGATGGCAGAGTGAGAATTGAGAATATCCAACAGAAAAGATGACAGATTTCAGTTGATCTCAGAAATGAAGTTGGATTTAGCCTAAGACAACATTAGTCAGATTTTTAAAATGCTTTAGAAGAAATGAAAGGAGAGGAGACTTGGCTTCTGGTCAGGAGGCATCATATTTGTATGAGAGAGCTGCATTATTAAAAGCAGGACAAGAGACAAATTGGCAACAAAAAAGCACGATGGGGAATGTGGTAGTAAGTGTAAATAAAAGTGTGGGATCAGTCAGATTATGCTGAAAACATGGCCGAAACAATCAAATGAGCAACAAAGCAAAATGACCTGAAATAAGGTCTGAAAAGCTTTTTACAGGCAAAGATCACATACTTAGAAGGGCCAGATATTCAGAGAGAAAATTTGAAATCTTTGCATTATATACTATAGGAGGAAAGAAAGAACCTAGTGTTAGTATTAGTATTTCTACATCACCAATAAAAATTTTAAAAAGATAAGGACATACCATTTAAAATCGTGACCATAAGTACCTACAAATTTAACTTACCTTGCTTACACAAGGATATAGGATTTATAAATAATATCAACTTTAAAATAAGTACTACTAAAATAATGACCAGATAATTTCAGAGATTTGACATAATGTATACTTTTGTAACATGGTGTCATCCTTCCCAAATTGACTGAAAAATTTCATGCTACGTGATCAAAACATTTCCTGTATATGCTTTGTAGAATTAGATAAAATAATTACAAAATTGATACAGAAGAACTTTTAAAAGGTCAAGAAATAAAGGGAGAGTAGGAAAAAGAAAAAAAACAAAGGACTTTATATACCTTTATAGTAGAGTCTCAAATCATAATATGAAGCAATAATTATAAAAACTCTGATACTGGATAAAGAATTAAAAATGGATATCAATGAACCAGATTTAGATTAGTGAGTTAAAACAAGTTGTATATACAGTAACTGCCTAGTGTAGAATAAATCTAGTCTCAGAACACCTGAATGTTATTTATTCAATAAAATTGTTGGGAAAACTGAATGGTAGGATGGTGAAAAATGGGAATAAACCAGTAATCTCATACCATCATCTACCACAACAAATTCCAAGTAAATTAAATAACTTAGAAATTATATTTCCTAGTCCTTTAATTTTCTTATGCCACATACATGTCCAGGGAAAAATGTTTTTCACAACTATGAAGAAGGGCATACCTTCTTACCAAGCAGTAAGGTAGACAGTGCACTGGGAAGAGCATTGGCTCTGTCGTCAGAAGACCTGCCCTGATGGCTGATTACCTCTTTAGCCTGGCGGCCTTCCTGGCCTCCTTGGACCCAGTTTCTTCATCTCTAGGATGAAGGGGATAGGACTTACTCTAGCCATATAGAGTATATTTGATTATATTGAAATTTAAAAGTATTTGTATGCCTCTAAGACAAGGAGAGAAACAAGCTGGGAGGAAGAGAAGAAGGGGAAGATCTTTGCATTAAACTTTCAATAAAAGTCTTATATTCAGAGTTTATAAGGAATGCACTTTTAAAAGAGCCATTCACCAGAGGGTAAGTGATGAAAAGGATATGAATAAGCAAGTCTCAAAGGAAAGAACCTTATTAAATCAGACAAACGGAAATTAAAACAACTCTGAGATCCATTTGGCACCCATCAGATTTGCAAAGATAAATAAAAGAGAACAGAATTCATTCGAGATGGAGCCATGATAAAATAGGCAGGCCCTCGGTAATGCTCCCGGTGGCATTGTGTTGGTCTTCCCTTTTAGAAAGCTCCTTAGAATAATTATGCTTTAGAGTTTCAATGGTATGCAACTGCCCTTTGATCCAGGAGGTTATTAACAGTGTAGGCCATGGAAGCGTACTGAATTTGGAGCCATAGGACCAGAGGTTAATGTCAAGGCTGTGGGATCTTGTGTGTCCTTCTCTGGGCCAGCCTCAGTGGTAAAAATAAACTGAAATTTACAGAGGTTTCATTTTTTGACAGCATGTGCAGGTGGGTCTATGTCTTCTGACAGTTGACTGACTCAGAACATTTGACTAACTGGATGAAGCCAGGTTGCTGTCTGTTAAGTGCCATATGCCATCCATTTCATTGCTATTTTTTGGTTATATTTTAAATTCTGTGGTTTTTAAAGAATAGGTACGTGCAAAAGTTGTAGCCATTGAAGAGGAGCACACTTGAGTGACTGTTAGAAGTATTAGTATTGCAGCTGCTCTTGGAGAGTAGGGAGGACTCGTGTGTTTGAAGAACATTCAAGTCCACAGTGAAACAGGATCAGTTGCGCCAAAGCACAAAAGAAGTGAAAAACGTCAAGATTGACAAACTTTTGCTACAAAGTAGCCTCATTAATTAATCCTCAGAAAACAAGGAAAGATCTTTGAAGGGATCTGGGAGCTGCAAGCATGGGTCGTGTGGCGTAGGCATCTTGGGAGTTGAGAGAAGAGAAGACAAATGAACATCAGCAGTCTTTGTGGTTTAAATTTGTTTAATTTTCTCATGCTTTTGTTCTGGTTACTGGTATTTGTCCTTGAAAGTTAAAGTTAATCTTTAAAAATTAAGGGGAAAAAAACCAAAGGTTTGGTTATGTTCTAATGTAGCAGTCCCCTGGCTCCCTCCTCGGTCCTTCGGGAGCTGGCGGCGTGTCCTGGGGACAGTGATTGGCTCCTTAGTGGGGCGTGCTCCCCTCCAAGGGCCACTGCTCACAGCCTTCCATCCTGCAGGACTCCTGGCCCCTGCACCTGTGAGTCTTTGTTGGCAAAGACACCCCGCTGCCTCTCGTGGTGGCTTCAGGCATGACACCAGTGACCTTCTTTGGTTAGAAGGCGATGATGACTTTTGTGCTACTTCTTACGCCCAGGAGTAGGTCCTTGTTTTTAAATGTAAAGAGGAAAAGGGATTCCACATGTAGCAGTTGCCCAGAACTTGAGGATCACCCGTCAGACTTGGTAGGGTCCTTGGAGCTTGATGTGGGCCTCAGCCACCATTTAGAACGTGGAGTTGGGACTTGTGGCGTGTTGCTATGCTACTGGCTGATTGAGAAATGAAACTCACAATGATTGCCTGAGCTTCTAGCTTTTCTGTTTCTGTAGAGAGAATTAGGACCCCACACGTTGAATTTTCTCTTTATGATGTGGGTCACAGTAGCATATGGACATAGGGAACACATTCCGAGGCTGGAGTAGTAGGGTACGCATTTGGCCTCCGGGCGGTAGTGAATGAATTAATGAGCTTCCTGATTATTGAATAAAGTCGGTGTTTGTGTCCTTGTCTGGAAGCAAAATCTTGTGATTTTCAAAAGTAACTAAAAAAGCCATAAAGGATTGCCGGAAGGATCTTGAAGTGATTATATGCTTGTGTTAAAAATGGCCTTAGTCTCATCATCAGTCAGTCATTAGGAAATGTCCCGTGCTCTATCCCCCACCTCCCACCCCCCGTGCCTGGGTTTAAGGAAGAAGTCCGTGGAGGAGTCCCTTTGGAAAGGGTCTTTTCTTTCCGCATTATGTTTGGCTTTTCTCCCAGGCAATGAAAGGAGAGAAGGGGATCGGCGGAGCCGTCACGACCACAGACGGACTGAGTGAGGAGCTCACGGAAGAAGCTTTCAGTAAGTCCCCTGCAGGGCTCGGTCTGACGGTTGTCATCGAGGCCTGCTCTCGAGACAGTGGGAAGCGTCATAGGCTCTTGTTTAGACAGAAGTGGATGGAGCCAGATCATTTTGAATGCATGTTCTCACATGGCCTTATTCAGAGTCAGTGCATCAGGTATGCCTGCGTCCTTGGGGAAGCCTTGAGAAGGGTACTGATGAGGACTAGCTGCGTACCTGGCATTGCACATGCTGGCACTGTGGGGGAGGTTCAGTCACAGACCCTTACCCAGGGCTTCTTAACCTGGGGCTAACAACTTGTTTTTTCAACTTTAAAAAAATATTTTGTTAATTGTATTTCAGCCTTAATTGGTTTCCTTTGTAATCTTAACGTATTTTATAACAGACATCTAAAACATTCGGAGGATTTAACAGACTTTCCCATTTTGGAGTTTGTTTCAGTTGTGTCCAACTCTCCATGACCCCATTTGGGGTTTTCTTGGCAAAGATACTGTAACGGTTTGCTAAATCCATCTCCAGTTCGTTGTGTAGATAAGAAACTGAGGCAAGCAGATTAAGTGGCTTGCCCAAGGTCACACAGCTAGTAAGTGTCTGAGGCCAGATTTGAACTTGGGGAGACAAGTCTTCCTGACTCCAGGCCCAGCGCTCTGTGCCCTGTGGCGCCACCTAGCTGCCCAAAACTTTACTGGATGGCCAGATGAGCCCATGGTCATGATAAGAAAGGTTCATTTAATCTGCTCATAATCTATCTTTACTAGGAGATTTAAAGCTCAATTCATTATCCCTTAAGTTGTTTTTTGTTTTGTTTTGTTTTTTGAAGGCAATTGGGGTTAAGTGATTTGCCCAGGGGTCACACAGCTAGTAAATGTCAGGTATTTTGTCTGAGGCTGGATTTGAACTCAGGTCCTCCTGCTTTCAGGGCCAGTGCTCTATTCACTGCACCACCTAGCTGCCCCAGTCTGTTAAGTTTTGAGCATAGTAAGTGGAATTGAGATTTTTTAACGGGCCCATTATACATAATTTGAGAGCACTTTTCTTGTGTCTTAAAGATGCCACATAGTTCATTCTTCCCAGCCACGCGTTGAGTCTGACTGCAGTCGGCTGCATCTGCTGCAGCTGCAGAAACAGGGGTGAAGACTTAGGGTGGGGTTTTTCGTGAAGAAAAATTTAAGGAGAAAAACTTTCCATCCTCCAAACTAAGATCATAATTTCCTTGGAATGAAAGAGAAAGAAAAAAAAGCCCTGATATTTATCTAATACTTAAATGTTTGTAAAGTAGAATGTCTGTTTTTGTCCTTTCTACCTTGCCTCCTGCCTCGTTAGTCAGATGGAACTGTTCTCTCCGGAGAGCGGGGATCTTTTCATGGCCACGTCTCACTCACAGTATTTGGCCTGGCGGAATCCTCTGCATCTTTCCCAGGGATTCTCTATGCTGTCTTGGTCGTCCTTCTTCGCTCTGAGGACTCCTCGGCCTCCTTTTCTGGATCATCCTCTGTGTGTGTGTGTGTGTGTGTGTGCGCGCCTCACTGGGGGTGGGCTGTACCTCAGGGCTCTGGGCCCTTGGCAGCTTCTTCTGTTGTCGTGGGTTTAATGAACTACAGTCTAGTCCTCATCTCTCTCCTGAGCTCCAGTCTCTTGTCGTCAGCAGCCCGCCGGACATCTCACGCTTGGTCTAAACAAAAGAAAACTCATCTGCGCCCCACCTCCTCCTCTCTGTTCCTGTCTGCCTGGGAGCTGCCGCTCCCCTGCCCATTCGTGTTGGCGGCCTCAGCATCCCTCCCCCACGGGTCCGGTTGCTCTCTCCCACATCTGTTAATGCTCATCACCTTCTCTCTCACCTGCCTTCTCTCTACATGTAGCCTCCTGCTTGGGCTCCCTGGCTCAAGGCTTTCTCTCCAGCCATCTTGACTTACTGCCAAAGTATAGGCCAGGCCATGTCACCACCCTCACCCTCCAAGAGAAATCTAGAGCAGGGGTTTGTGACCTTTTTGGTCATGTTTTCTACTTGCTACCTTGTAGCAAGTATGAGGCCTTTGGACCCCTTTGACAGCCTGAGGCCTATGGAGCCCTCCCCAGATTAATGTTTATAAATGTCTAGAATAAAGTACATAGGGTTATGCAGGAAACCACTTAGATTGAAATAGTTATCAAAATATTTTTAAAATATAGACCTCAAAATTAAGCGTCTCTACAGGCAATTGTATTTGATTCTAAGGTTTACTGGTGTACCCCTAGGAACAAATACAAATACAGATGCCTATGTGGCACATAAAGTCCTTCACTAGTAAAACAGCTCCTGTCCCCAAAGAGCTAATATTCTCGGGGGGGGGGGGGGGGGCAGCACTTTATATTTCCATATCTGTGTGTTTGTTATCTCCTCTGAGAGAATGTGGGCACTTGTAGGACATTTCATTTTCAGCTTTCTCCATCCAGATCCTTGCAAAGTGTCTGGCACGTGGTATGTGGTGGGTGCTTAATTAGTGTTTCTTGATGGATTACCCTGATCTGACACAGGAAGAAAGGAGGGGTCAAGTGTTTTACATGGGGCATTAATTTCCTTGTGGAAGATCTCACGGCCAGTGAGGGGTCTGGAAATAGAACCCAGGGCTTTTGAGCTTGAGCTGTGGAGTCTTGGAACTTGACTAGAAACACGACTTTAAAATTGTACCTTAAAAATGTGTTTTGTCTTTTATAGCTAATCAGTTACCAGCCGGCTTAATAACCACAGATGGCCAGCAACAAAATGTTATGGTGTATACAACATCATATCAACAGGTATAGTGTCTGTTTCTAAAACTTTATATTTTATTGATTGATTCTTTTTGGAGAAAATGGATAAATGAATGAATTTTTCAAATGAATAAAATCATTTAGCAAAAAAGAGACCTTGCTATGAAAGGAGATTATTAAAAAAAATTAATTCTCTTTTTTAGATTTCTGGTGTTCAACAGATTCAATTCTCATGATTTCAAGAAAAGTTGGAACTGAAAATATAAAAAGATGGGAGAGAAGTGGACAGTTCTAAAACAGAGACATTACATACAACACCTTGGGGAAGAGAAATGTCTCTCTGTATATTAAATAGCTGTAATGTAGCTTCCCTGATGCTTGACTAATTGAGGTGTGAATTCCAACTGGAGAATCTTTTTTCATGAATGATTTCAATGAAAAAAAATTTGGATTTTAAAGGTATTAAAATATTTTTGTTTTGTACAAGAGTTTGTTGCTCTGTATGACTCCTGTATGCATTGTATATTGCGATTTATTACTGTCGGAGATTTGTAGACAGTTTCTTATTTTCATATTGAATCATGTTACTTTTGTATAATTCAAGTAAAACAGCTGGGTTAATTCATGATGTTTGCCCTTTTAATAAAATATGAGGGTAGAGTTCATTTTGAATGCAAGTTGCCTTTATTATAAAATTGAGTTGGTCTTGGTTATGTAATGTCTTGCATGATAACCTTAGTGAGATTTTTAGCTGTTGACATATTTATTGAAATTTAATTTTTAAAGGGTTTTTTTTTCTCTCTTTTTTTTTCAGTAAACCATTTACAACTTAAGTGACTACAGATGTTTGGGGGGAGGGAGTTGGGGGCCTTTTGTGTAATTTTGAAAACTAAATGTTGATCCCTAACCAAGCGTTGTCCAGCCTATTAAATTTAAAGATCCCCTATGCCCATTAACAGGGTTTACCACAATTAGCAACACTGTTTATTGTGCCTGTTAATAGAGTATGTTATTTTGAGTTAGTTACTGAAGGTCTTTGTTTGGCCAGATTTATCTTTGAGTTTCTTTAATTTATGAATATTATTTTATCTCATTAATATGTTGAATTTCATTTGGTCATAGTGCTATTGAAGTGACATCCTTTGCATTTTGTGTATGGTTTTTTCCAAAGCAAAATCTTAAAATACAACAATGTCCTCTTCTAGAAGAGAAGTTTTATAATCTGGTGGCAAATGAGCTCTTTTTTACTTTTTAATTGAAATGTTCAAGTTTCCTATTATACTAGGGGAACTTTAAGAACTGTTCACTGACACCCTATGTACAGATATATTTAGTGCATGTGTGAGTGAGTGAATGAATAAATGAATGAATGAATGTACTGGTGGCAGGTGAGTGCTAAGTGGGAAAGAGAGGGCTCAGACTGGGTTTGTTGTCTCTGTCTTTGCAATAAACTCTCATTAGATAACGGAACTTGGTATAACTTAGCAAACTGCTTGTTCTTAGCTTTCTTTTCTTGCGGGGGAGGGGGAGGGAGGGGTGTTGGCATCTGAGGGTATGACCGTGTTTTTCTAATGGGGATGTACATTTTCCACCCTGTCTTATTTGATAGGGATTAATCGTAGCTCCTGTTTTAGTGGTGTGAGCAGAATTGCTTTTATTAGAACGGAGCAGGCATTTACTTTGGCTAATGGATGTTTCACAAGTTAACAGATCTTTGAAGAAGGGGGCTCACACATGCGGGAGAAGGGATTTTACACCTACTCTGTTCAGGGGCCTTCAGGGAATAGTTTGCTTCAGAGTGCCCTTTGAGTCATTAATCTATTACCATTTCAGTCTATCTGTGGTCACCATCTATGAGTGTGCCCTGCACACAGGTGCCCATTCCATCCCATGACACTCCCAAAATGAAACTTGGGAGGCATCCTGACCTACTGTCTGTCATGTGACATGGATCACTGACCCATGTCAGGAGACCAGGTTCTAGTGCCTGGTCAGAGCACTAACTTCTGGGCCTGGTCCTCACCTCCAGCATAAGGAGCCGGACCAAAATGGCCACCAATTGATTGTAAGACGGCAGGTGATCATTAAAAGCTAGCTAGGGTGCCTCATTCTGGTCGAACGGGGACTTTCCCCCCTTTTTGTCCTCGGCCACAGTGGCAGGAGAAAACCTTCTGGGTGGCAGTGCTTGTAACCTAGGGTAGGTCGCTGGTCAGCCTTCTCTCAGTGCAGACTGGCATCCTCTAACTTCGGTCCTAGGGAACCGGGTGCCTCCTTAGCCTTGCTGCTAACTGGGAAATAGGGGCTGGGATTTCATTAATGTTTGGAACACAAATACTGACAAGATCATTGGGAAAGTTAGGTGACTTGTCCAGGGTCACCCAGCCCCTTTGGATCTGTGTCCATCTGTGACGATTGCATAATCCTCCCCAAAGCAAGTTCTTCATTGAAAAGCAGCCACCATTGCCTTGTTATTTGGTCAAAGGTCATTTACCTATGACCAGTGTCAACCTTGGAGTTGCCAACATCTAGCCCACCCGGACCCCCTCATTTCACAGCTGAGGAAACAGACCCAGAAAGGGAAATGACTTGAAGGTCACAAGGGTACCGAATGTCTTTCTGAGGCAGCATTTGAATGCAGGTCTTCTGACTCCCAATCCAGCATTCTAGCCACTTCATCCTGCTGGCTGGGCACACACGTCATATTGAATCTTCTTAATCCCTGCCTTGTGGGTGATTTGATGTTTTTATTCCATCTCAAAACTACATTGAAAGGATACTAGAGACAACTTTTATAGTTATTCTTTTGGAGAATAATCAGACTCCCAATTGTAAATATTTCCCCTATATAGAAATATACCCCTAGGAACAACATTTCCATGTAAATAGTTCTTAAACACAATGTTTACATATTTATGTATGTATGTGTATATATATATATATATACATACACACACACATCTCCAAGTTTTATATTTGTGTGTATACATACACACATACATACACGTGTATGCACAGAAACCAGGATAAGTTACTGGGACAATGTCTAAACAAAACTAACATAAAAATTTGTAATTCAATAGTTTGACTAGACCTGTGATTTCGTAAGTGTAAGGAGCTCTCTTAGTAAGGAATATGCATTATATATAATAAAAATATATACACATATATGTGGATATATATGGTATAATGTAAAATCACCATTTGCCAAGGACTGAACCTTAGCCAATACATTCCAGGTACATAGCTGATTATTTTTTACCATTATTATTTTATAGACAGATTAAAATCAAGGCATCATTATTGCTGTATGCCAAATACAGGATATTAAAATGGGAATAACAAATGACCCCATGTCACCTTGGATGACACACTAGATTGGGGACTGCCGTAATATCCGGCTTTCAGGATACAGTTTTCTGTTATTTTGGGAAATAGGAGTGGCAGTCTTACAGTACCTTGACGGCTGCAGACGATGCTTATCAGAAATATCAATAGATGATAGATTGGGAAATGGATAGATGGATGGATGATGCAGATGATGAATTGGTGGATAATAGGTGAGAGATGATTGATAGTCTGATGGATAGATGATAGATAAGACTGTGCTCTTAATATATGTTATACATTATCAAGTCCAGTTCAGTTCACATATATCAACAGTACAGTGGGTGAAGGGAAGATTTTGGGGTTAACGTTAGGGAGTTATTAAAATGGTTTACATTTTAATTATAGACCACATGATTTCTGCCATTGCCCTAATAAATGGCACGATCCCCCTAATCTCTTCCTTCCAGGAAGAAACTGGGGAAACTGAGGCAAACGGTGAAGTGACTTGCCCAGGGTTACATATCTACTAAGTGTTAGAGGCTGGAACTGAACTCAGGTTTTCCTGACTCTATCCCCAGGGCTTTATCCACTACACTACCTAGCTTCTCCTGTCTGAAAAATATATTTCACATTCCTCACCCCTAGTCTGCCATTCTTTGGTTGAGAGGTGAGAGGCATGCTTTACCATCAGTACTGTGAAATCATGATTGGTCATTTCATTAGTCAGAATCTTGAGGTCTTTCACTGCAGATTACTGTGGTCATGATGTAAAGTGTTTTGCTGATTTTGATTAGTCAGAGAGATTAGGTGACCTCTTTTCCCCGGATCACAGAGCTAGTAAATGCCAGAGCCAGATTCATAGAACCCAGGCCTTCTAACTCCCAGGTCCAGTGTTTTTTCCCTCATACCACACCAACCTGTATGTATGATTGAAAAGCAGAGCTGGAAGTGATCAACGTCACATAAAAGGAGTAACGGAGCTGGGATTCCAACCCAGGTTCCTTTGATTTCAAATCCCACATGAAGTAACAAGGTGCAGTGGAAAGAGCCCTGGGCCTGTAGGTGAAAAAACGAGGCAAGGCCTGTAGTGCCACATTGAATGGTACTGGCGGGCTTTCTCTGACTGTGCCAACACCCATGGATGAACACTCACGATTTTCCATGCTTTTAGAGGTCAGCCTTCTCCAAAGACCAAGGCACCAAGTGCAAGGTTTATTTCTCTAGAACATCCTGCTTAGGTCACCGGACAGTTGGTCCCAAAGAGATCTCTGGGCTCAGGTGAGTTAGAGCAGGATGCTTTCTGGGTCAGGCAGGCAAACTAAGGATGGCATTCATGCACTTACAATTCCCAGGGTTACTTTTATAAGAAACCGAACCCAAAAGATTTCATAGAGCCCAGTGATATGGAAAAAAAAAACATAACAAAATACCCACAAAAGAATGCTCGGGCTGATCTTTTTAAGGCAACGGCAGAGCTGCTGTTCCCCCTACCTAGACATTGTGAATCTCTGTCTCTCTTTCCTTCTCTCTCTCTTTCTTCTCTCCCATTCTCTCTCTCCCCTCCCATTCTCTCTCTACTCTCTCTCCCTCCCACTCTCCCTCCTTCTCTATCTCTCTCTATACACACACACACACACGTATGTGTATCTATATATAGTGTTTAACCTACTTTATTATTTAAAAAATTTTTTTCGATGAACGAAAATTTATTTTCTCTCCCTTTTACCTCCACAACCACAACTGGGGGAGGGGGAGCCTTTGTAAAACAGGCATGACCAAAGGGAAGGGAATATGCATTTATAGCACTTCCTGGGTGCCAGGCACTGCGCTAAGCCCTTTTTACAAATATCTCTCTATTTCTGCATCGGTCACATCCAAACAATAGATGTCTCATTCTGCAGCCTGAGCCCATCACCTCCCACGAGCGCTGGTCATTGTGTTGATCAGCATTCTCAAGTCTTACAAAACTGTAGGTAAAATATGTTTGTAATATTTCACATTCAAGTTCCCAGCATTTACAGCTGTATTCTCCGAGCCTTGCACAAGTTCCCCTCCAGGATAAGAAGGTAAAAATGAACAAAAGACAATCGTTGCTGTTTTATTGACGTGGCGCTGTTGAGTTTGAGGAAGGCAAGATGGGCCCCAGTCCCATTTGGCAGTTGAGTAAAGAGGCTCAGAGGGGTTATGTAATTTGCCCACAGTCACACAGCTAAGGAAGTATCAGAGACAGATCTGAAATACTTCAGGTCTTCACTCATGTAGCCTTGTACCCACTGCACCATCCACTTCTCTGAATCCTGTACCCAAACAGAGCTAACCCTGTGTTTGTTCCCTGTATCATTTCAAAGGAAACCTTTCATATGAAATTCGCTCTTTAACAGCCATCGACCTCTGTTCCCTCAAAAGGAAGGAGATCCCTTGCCAACACTTCCCCATACAGTGCCATGCAAGTTATTTGGCCGAGAACGGGTGGCAAAAACAAGCAAACATTTCAGCTCCTCCGAGTTGGTTCCAAGTTTCCAAGGGCCTCGTGCAAACAATTGAAGTAAAGTGAGGAGTGAAGCAAGGGGAAGCTGATATAAGCATGCGAATATGCGAATTTGGGTTAGAAAGGGTTAGGAAGACGCTGCCTCTGCAGAAAGGAGTGTGGGCAGGAATTTTGTTAACTTGGGGGGGGGGGGGATAAAAGCCCGGATTCACTTTGGAACAGTTGCCTGGTGAAGCTGTCCCAAGTCCAGCATTCCAGATGAGAGTTTTCAGAAGTTATCTCCGTTATGCAGGCCAGCTGTTGCCCCCTCAGTCTCGCTGACTGATTGATAACAGGAGCCAGCAGCTGTAAGAGGCGCTGGCCAATGGGAGCCCCACTGCCAAACTCAACTGAGTAATGCCACTTGGCAGGGTGAAGGAGACCCATTCAAAGTTAATTGGTTGATCCCCAGACTCCGTGTAGCTAACACGTTCACTCCACACCAAACCACTACTGAGCCGACCTGCTCCACTCTCCACCAGCCTCCCTCTATCCTCAATTTTCACCCCTTTGAGGCTGTTTTCCCCCATTTCCTCCAAAGACTAGGCCACTCCCAGCCAGGCTTGGAGAGCACTCTGATATTCCCTTCAGCTGTCTGGAAGCTGTGAACAAATCC